TTAAAAGGAAAAAACCCATTAAATATTAGAAAAAATTTTGATTGGTAGCAGTACCTTTTGAAACTGTGTGAGTGTTTCAGCCATTATAATTATTTTTTACTAGCATGATGCCAAGCAATGGAAACAGGAGGCATATTACCATTTTGTGCTGGCACAGATGTTCCAAATGATCACGACCTCTCCTCTATTCTCCATTTGTACATAGTCAGCATTAGTCAGGAAATTATTTTCTGTAGGTGAGAAGTAAACAGAGTTAATTTTTTTATCTGCTTAAGAGAGAGGAGTTTCCCATTTGCAGAGAACTGTCTGCAATTCCCTGTGTAGGAGGGGCTACAGAGTTGTATAATCTCAAGGCAAAGCTACTGAGTGCTTAGAGTGAATTTCACAGTGCACAAGGTAGGTGACTTTTTTTTTTTTTTTGACTTGCATGGAATTGTTGTACATGAAACTCTATGAGTGAATGGCTTTTATAAATTAAAAGTATGTACTTTCTTTACTAACATAGTTATGTGCACCGAGGGTTAAATCATTAATCTGCTGCTTTTGAGGTGTACAGAATTAAGAAAAAGAAAAGTAGATCTCAGAAGTGGGGAGTGTTTTTCTGTCGSCTCTTTCTGCCTACTGTAGAGAAGCTGATAAGGGGAATACGGTGGGGTTTTGGCCACTTTCCTTTTGCTGCTGTTAATGTTTTAGCTTTGTTGTTGACAGRGTGTCAGTCACTGTGAGTCTGGTGTAAACTGGGCRCAGTCTGTGTGTTTGCAGCTGATGTGCATGCATGGTTCTGRGGGGGGTGGGTGATGGTCTGCCTRGAAACTGTAGTTGTTTGAAGGTCCTGCCTAGAAACTGTTGTTGCTTTGTTCCCTAAACGGCCAGTTTTGAATTATGAGGCAGACACGGTTAAGGGGATGAAAGGGTTTTACCTCGGTATTTTAATAGGATCCCAGKTGCACAGCTCRSCAGCTRGAAAATGCCAAAGRTGCAYSCCGTGTATAACATGYATACAAAWTTTATAGACCTCAYAAATTAGCATATCTAGCTAGAATTCCCCATAAGAAACTTAACAAATGACATAATGTCCCCGTGTTCTAAACAGTCATCCCCGGGATGAGGCTATAACCCAGTTTACACAGTGTGTGTCAGAGAGAAGGCTTCAACCAAGGTTGGATGCTCAAGTTTGAGAGCACATGCAGYACACGGACCCCCTACTGAAGATGTTTGCTATTTTTGCCTAGCAGGACCATAAAACTAAGCTAGAATAGCAGGCAACARGAATTACAAACATGTAGGCTGAGGGTACAAGGAATACATAAATGGCCCAAAGAATGTCTAAAAGGGTATACCAATTATTTAAAAGAACATATAAATATAAAATGCAAAAATATAAGACATCAGTGTGAAATGTCAGCAGRGTTGGAATCAGACCAAGCAAGTATTGCCYTGTGKCTGTGCCTGTGRTAAAGGCAAATCTGATGTTACCAGAGGCAAAATCAATTTCCAYGTCYTTGCAGGCTTGTCTAAAGAAGTTACAGAAGCAGGGACTGTTGCAAAAGAGCTGGAATGCTCACAAAGGGGAAAAAAATCCTTCCTGRCCAGTTATAAKGGATCATAATGGCTGCTRGASAAAGCACAGCAATTGTTGGGTTTATAGCATGTGTCTGATTAAACAGTAAACTGTATTCTGAGATGATGCCAA